CCTGTGGAAATCCCCAAGCAGAGGCAGGCTGACCACAATGATGGAGGTAAAGTATGCCTCCTGCTCCGAAAGTGATGTGGCGTTGGAATTGTTAGATACATTAAATTAAATCGATGCAAATGATGACATATCATCATGTGACGACACAGCAAATTTATCAGATCTAAAGAATAAGATATCACGTGACAATACATTTACCTCACCCTTTGTGACGAACCATTCATGAGTAAAATTAAGCAGTGACTTTGTCGTAATGTGACGACTGAAAGTTTTACAGTGTGAATGAGGTTGAATGCATTTCTGATCAGAAGTATGGGTGGAATGCATACATTTTGACATATACAAAACTGTGAATTGTGATGCACAGTCTGTTGTGTATGCCAGTCCTTCCAAAAAAAGTAAATTCATTGTTGCAGAGTGCGGCCAGCAAACTTTGAAAAAGCTACTACGGTAATGATGTTCATACTTTAATTTTAAACTCTACATGATAACTAGCAATATGTACGCCAGATCACGTCTCGCGTAACAGGCTTCGCGATATCTCACGAAACACTGTTACGCTGCGACGCGCCTGACGCACATGTGTAGCTAGGCCTGCGGCGCTGATACCCGAGGCGAGTTAATGGAGCACTCCACTCTAAAGAAGAACAAGAAGAAGATGGCCGCTGGGGCCGGTGGTGGGGGTAGGAACATAACAAACATTCATTTGTTTAGCAGCCGAGACCGACGCCATCTTTCTACTTAACCTCTTCCGCGCGCCGGCCAATGTTGCTTCAGTCTCAACGATATTTGACTCAAATTAAGTGTGGCAGTGTTGCGCAAATGCAGAAATCATTTAATCACTTCAAATTTGTATTAATTTTAATACTGCGCGAAAAGCGTCAGCTAGAAAGATAGCGTCGGTCTCTACACGCTTCGTCTGCAAAACAATTGAATGTTTGTTATGTTCCTACCCCCACAACCGCCCCAGCGGCCATCTTCTTCTTGTTCTTCTTTAGAGTGGAGTGCTCCATGGGAGGGATTAGGGGAACAGGGTCTTCCGGCACCAAAATTTGACATACTAACAGCATTTGCCCGGGACTAATTACTCTAAATTTAGGGACAGGAAACTACTTCTGTCCGATGAAGGTTTTCATTAAAAGTGCGAATTTTGACAGATTATGTAACAAGCAGGCCCGCCCTTCCGCCAAACGGAGTTGCCAGCTCCACTTCGCTGCGCCGGCA